AGATTGATGTTTTATGCTCAAGATTTATCATGCCCTGATTTAATCCAAACTGGACTATGGGTCTTTGATCTATGGTTATGCCAGGACCTCGGCCTTGAAGATGCTGGACCCCATTCACCATTTGGGGCTTCGGCTCTGCACCGGGGCTTTTCACACTTCTCCAGTCCAGAGTTTGTACACTGAGTCCCATGAACCTCCTCTTCACCTCTGTCATTTGCAGCTTTCTTTACAATATGTTACCAAGCTTCAATCCTTACCACGGCAACCCACCTGGGATTATGTCTTTCTTTCTCGATGTGCCATGCTCTTTCGGAACAGACAGTCTGCTATTCCTTCCTTTGGCCTTAATATCCAGGCACAATTGGTTGAATTGGGTCTGGCATTGGATGACATTCCTGTCCCCAATGATAAGCCCATTCCAACATTGCTTATTACCATCCCTTCCTGTGACCTTTCCTTGAGTCATCTGAGGAAGGCAGATACTCCCGATTGGAAGTACCATCTTCTTTTTGCTGAACATCTTTTGAGCCATTCTTCTCTTCCTATTTACATGGATGGTTCAAAATTAGGTGACTCTGTAGGTTCTGCCATGGTGTGCTGTGGCTTGGTAGTTGCTCGCAGGATCCCCTCTACAGTTTCTGTGTTCACTGCCAAGTTGTATGCCATTTCTCTTGCCCTGGTTCATGTAGAAGCTATGCAGTACAGTAAATTGTACTATTTATACTGATTATCTTAGCTCTCTACTGGCCCTGGAATTGCTTAACGTTAGTTCTCATCCTGCTCTCATCAACATTCAACAATGACTGGCCCATTTTTCTTTATCTTCTGTTTCCATCCAGTTTTTCTGGATACCTGGCCATGTCAGTATTCACGGGAATGAGCTCGCTGACACCGCAGCTAAGTCCGTCTGCTCTGGTGCCATCACGGCCCTACCTGTACATGGACTATGGTCCTGTCTTCAAGGCACGGCTTGGTGCCAGTTGACTTGGGGTAAGCAACGTCATAACAAGCTTTTCCAGATCAAACCTTCTGTTGGTCTTTGGCCGTCTTGCTTCCATAAGGATCAGAAGGTGGGAGTTTTAACTAGCTGTATTTTTACATTTTACTCTAATTTACTTTCACTGTTTTTACTGGTTGTTGGGTGCAGATAGCCTTGTTGCTTTGCGCCATAAAGCACCAAACAACCAACTAAATGGTTACTCACGAGACTTGGATTGTTGGAATGATCAAAAATGATTATAATCAGAAACACTAATTTTGATTAGTTGATTTTTATGGATTTTGACAACAATTGGTTAAAATCAACAACCTTCAATTAATCAAAAATAATAATGAGTAATCATAATGACATTATTCTGGTTACTTGGAAAGTTGGAATAATCTAAAACACTAATTTGGATTAGTTGAATATTTTTGTGACGTTATTCAATTTAATCATAGTTTTGATTAATTAATTATTTTCTATGGCACTAACCAATATAATCAATACTCACTGGTAATCTATTACATTGTTTAATTGAGTTAATCACCCAGCTCTACCACTAGTTATAGAAGAGTAAAGTACTTCATTATGTGGTAGCTATACTAAAATACAATATTAAAATTGTTAGAGAACTAAAGTTTTTTGTTTTTATTCAGTTATGTGTGTGTTGGATATACAAGAATGTTTAGCTTAAGAGTTATTATTTAGTGATTTAATATTTAATGATCATTTAGTTTTCATAACAAGAGTTTTAAAAGTTAATTATTTGAAAAGTGATAGTTACGACAAGTTTTGTTACATAACTCTATACGAGTTGTACGTTGTGTATGCAGTTTGATTGTTGTACTAGGTTTTTGTAATATTGTTAACATCATCTTACTCAAGGTATCTAAGTTTTCTTGTTACGTGAATATTGTTGTCATAAGAAGGCTAGATATTTCTAGATTTTCTGTCGCATGCAGATACAGAGTGCAAGTAAAAAGTTAAAATAAGTTAGTGAAAGTAAAACTGAAGATTGACTGCGTGATTGTAAGTTTAGCCATAACGAGTGATTTCTAAAGTGAAAGTTTTGCAGTTTGTATTGTAACAACAGAGATAGAGAAGAAAAATTTGTCTTGTCATTTGGGTTTAGACATAACTGAACCAGCCTGTTTGGACATTTTGACATAAAACAGAATTATTTAAAACTCTGGATACAACTGTGGTAACCCATGGGATAACATATGTGAATTTATCACTGATTGTATTGTAATAAAAGAGGAGAGAAGGAATAATTTGTCTTGTCAATTAGATTCTAAAGTAACTGAACCAGCCTGTGTGGACTTCTGATGAAAAAGTGACTTATTTAAAGCTCAAGATTCAACTGTGGTAAACAATGATGTAACAAATTTTTGAACACAGGTTTTACATGTTTTTCATATATATTATTTTAAAACAAGTGCATTGTGTGCTGTCCATTTATTGCCAACAAGTCACAGACACCTATTGTAAAGAATCCGGCCCAAATACAAAACCTGACAGTGTATATACATTTTTATACAAATTACACTTATTTGAACTCAAAATTTTTGTTCACATAATTACTCATACCTTCTATTTTATCTACATCTTCTTTTGTTACATAACTACCTCCTCCCCATATACCTAGTTTATGGACCTTATCTGGATATCTTCCTGCAATGATTAATCCAGTCGTAGCTCCATCACTCCATCCCAGAAGACTGAATTTTGGAATTTCTAGTTTCTGAGAAACATTCAAAATATTAGAAAGCATACATATTTTTTAGTGAGGAAATTTCCAGTTTAGTTATAAATCAAATGCATTCTTTACCAACATCAAATAAACACAGAACACATGATGTTTTCATCTCAATGTTGTCTAAGTTAATTACTGCAATCATTATAAACATACACATCTTAATATCTGTGCCAAATTCTTTATTTGTTTTAAAAAATTGTGCTCTTGGATATGTCACATACAGATAATTAATTAAACATACACAAACTGGTCCATACATAAAGAATGTTATTTACGTACAAACATACATATAGGGCCACATTAGCCGTGGCGCAGTTGCGCCAGGGCCCCTACTGACAATCCGGAACACCAGTTTAACTCTCTCTCTCTCTCTTCTTTTTTTTTGACAAATCTATATATTTTGTGTTATTTGTTCTATTCTTACTCAATACAGACTAGATCAATTTGACTGACCTCGTAACCACCATAAAAAATTACAAATTAAATCAAAATTACCATTTTTTTCTATCTAGAATTACTCCAAATTGTAGCAGGAAACAACATTTCTTTACACTACATAGTTTAAAACTTTAAATTTAATATCTACGGATATTTATGCAAGGCAAATAGTAAGAAATGAAACTCCTGCATTGATGAATAAAATGAAAACATTAGATATTGCTTTTATGACAGTGTTTTGTTATAAAATTCTTCAAAGATTTGATGCTACAAGTTCTAAGCTTCAAAAAAGAGCCTTGATTTGTCTACTGCTGTAAAGCTCGTCAGTTCGCTGAAGGAATATGTAAATTCACTATGTGAAGAATTCGATACAATCGAAATTCAAGATCATCAGTTTCAAGTATAGTAGAAGAACAATTTAGGAGCGAGACTTCAAGAAAGAGAAAACGAAAGCTGGCAAATGATGAGACTTCTGAAGGTGAAATTAGTTTATCTGGAACCCAGAAGTTTTGCATACAAAAGTTTACAGAGTTGACAAGTTACAAATGTGTTTGGAAAATTGGCTTGCTGTATATAAAGCGACAGAAATGAAGTTTGGTTTTCTATTGAATTTCAAAAATGTAAATGAAACTGAAGTTTTTGCTGCAGCTAAAAGATTGGGAGACATATACTCTCCAGATCTAGACAGCTCTTTTCCCGATGAAATGGTACAGTTTGCAAAATATTTTGATAGTGAAACACCATCCGCCCAACAATGCATCAAAGCAATCCAAAAAAACAAACTCGAATATATTTTTCCTAATGTTTCTTGGCATTAAGAATATACTTGTGCCTACCCGCCATGAACTGCAGTGCAGAGAGAGCTTTTTCTAAAATGGCTAGAGTAAAAAATGAATTGTGTGCTTCGATGTTAAATGAATGCTTAAATGCGCTTTCCTTGCTCACGATAGAAAGGAAATTGCTTCAGCAAATAGATTATGAAGATGTAAGTAGATATTTTGCTTCCACCAAAGCAAGAAAAGAACGATTTTTGAGTAATGTTTTAGCATGCTTCCATAATGTTGTACAAGTAAATAATTAAATGTTAATATCTCATCCTTAAAAGTTGGATGCATCATATTCTAATTTACTTTGAATAATTAGCTCATATTCTATAATTAACCTAATATGTATTAATTATAATTAACTTCAAATTTGCTTGTACCCTATTTAAGGGGCCTCAAAAAATAAGTGCACCAGGGCCTCAAACTACCTTAATGCAGGCTTACATACATACATACATGTATCTCATTAACCAATGCACACTTCTAGTGAAATGTCACTGTTCATGCTCAAATATGATAACCGTAGACATAGCAGGCACAATATAAATACCTACACAACTCCATTTCACCAGATCTCACAAGAGAAACAAGAATCACAAGTAATCAGTCCTTGAGAGACTGATTGATGATGTGATTTCTGTACTTATACATGTCATAAGACCACTATAACTTATAGTCTCCTTTTCCAAGGAGGATATCAAAAGAAGAGGATAGTTGTGATTATCATGCTGAACCAGACCAACATTGTACTGCTTGGAAGGTTGCTACTGTTTACAGTTGGATGTGCACCAGCCCCACTTTCAATCACAAATTAGGCATGTACCAGAAACAGGAACAAAACCTGCATGAAGAAACTCAAGAAAAGAAAATACATATTGTAACTGTCACAAAGTGAAAAGTTATGAGAAATTTATTTGTTTTTCTTTCTTTGGATACATATATATATATATATATCAATATACTAGTAATGTAATCAATCTTTATCTGTGTACAACCACGTTTGATTAGTCGTAAGCAAAGTATAAATGTGTATAAATAATGGGTTTTTTATGTATAACCCAAACTTTGTATTTAAGTAGTCATAATAGGACGTTATTTATGCTGGATTCAATGCATTAACTATGATACATGAATATTTATTTTCTGTACTCTATTTTTTGGTATATGATTCATATATATATATATACATTTTAAAGACTTACGATTAGGTAGAGGATTATACAGTTGATTGTTAGGAATAGGAGGAGTCTTTTACAATTATTGAGTGGGATGTTGAATCTGATTGACCTTAATTCAATATTATTGGAACTACAACTACACTTTCTTTCAGGCTAACTACAGACTCCTGGCTATGTTGAACACACCTATCAAGAACAACTCACATTGTATTCAACATCATCTGCTAAGCTAACTCTACTGCCAATTTAAAATAAACACATTCTTTGACTAAGCTTTCTTATGAACTAAGCTATAGACTTGCAGACATATAGCAAAATATTAGTTATACACTAACAAAAGGTGAACGTTGAACACAGCTGTCAAGAACAATTCATATTGTATTAAACATCGTCTGCATGTTAGTGAGAATTGAGAGGATTCTCATGTAAGGTGATTCTAACTAGATGGTTGTGTAGGTCTAAACAAATGTGTTCACAGATGTGAATGTATCAACAATTGTAATCTGGTCAGAAAGATGTTTATTCGAGACTGACTGAACTGGATGAGAAATTGTACACACAGGTAACCTTTCCTGTAACTTTTAATGCTCAGTCCTGGGCACCAATCAATAAAGAGAGAGATGAGTCACTCTAATTGCTGGGCCCATCACCTTGAAGTCTACTCCCAAGAGTTTGAATGGATTATGCTGAGAAACCATTTAAAAAGTGATGTCTCTGAACCACAAGTGTGGTTGCAACCGACATCAGGGTTGTTCCCAGCCTCGAGGTTGTTCCAGAAGGTTCCAGGCTTTCCAGTTCTCTCAGATATATACAAGAACACAGAATGGCTGTTTATCTGTACGTGCCAGACTTGCACTACACTAACTCCATGCAAGTTTTAATTGCTACTCTCCCTTAACTAATAATATTGCCAGGAGGAAATATGATGTATAATGTAAAAGTTGTTAAAGCTAACTAAGTAATGTTGATGTGGTGTTAATGTTAGAAAATTATGGAACTAATAAATGTTACTGAAAGTATAAACCTTTGGAGTAATATTTTAATGTTATCGTTACTTAAGTATGAGCCTTCATGTTAATAAAGTATACATCTTTTTGTGTAGAATTGGGCTCAGTATCTTTATTACTTGCTTTACTTGTAAATTTCCTCAAGTTGGTTGACTTGTGTACCCACTCGTGACTGCATAATTAGTGTCTTGTCACTCCAAATGATGCTCAGTCATTACAAAGGGTGTCTGCTCGAAATATCGCAGAAAATAAACTAGAAAAAGTTTTCATTTAGAATTGTCAATTTATTCTTTATTGTCCACTACCAAAGTTTTCTTCTCATGTCTTGTGGAACAACATTCATCTAGAAATACAAGTGGTATGACTGTATAAATAATAGCTTTTTCAAGAAAATAGGTATATTGTTTATTAATGCTCTAATTTTTGTTATAACTGTATAACTTCAAAGCAAAGTTTGTTTCTAACTGTTTTACTATCATATCAATCACATTACTAGAAATAAAGGTATACCCATTGAAATTACCAGATTTTATAGAATATATTAATTTTATTTTAATTATTTAGGTTACTTTGGGACTATATGGTCAAAAGTGATTCCTCCAAAACACTATGTTACAATAGTAGACGTTTGTTCTTACATAAAATATTGAAAATTTAGTTACATTTTTAATTTTCAAAAAGTTAACTGGTGTCATACTCTCATTGTAAAAATGAAACAGTACATCACTGTAGAAAAGTTAAACTTTGTTACTTGTTAATACATAATTATCTGAATAGAGTTGTTAGTTTTATTCTTTTCCATTTCCTAGCGGTTTTACAACATTACAACTACCAAAAGTTTTATTTTAGAAAATAAATTGATGTTATTCTAATTTCTAATGTTGCTTGAACTTAAATTTATTCCAGTTGAAGAATATCAAAACATACTAAGCTTTTACCTTATTTATGAGTATTGATTTCTCTTGATTGATTACAAAGCATTTGAGTAACTGTACAGTTATTGATACAACACTTAAGGTCCCAGCATTGTGGTAAACATGCTTATAAACATAAGAAACAATACTGAATTGTCTGAAATAACAAGTATTGTTGCAACAGATGACTGATAAGTGAATAAAGTTTTTATGAATTCTAAATGTTAAGTAATGCAGTTGCATTTCTTTTATGATACATTTTGATGAAGTTTATGATAAAAAAAAAGTAACTTAATTCTAAATTATTTGTGCCTGAAATTTGAAGACAGTGTTTCCTCTGGTTTTTCATATTTTTTTGCAGCTCCTAAAAGTTTTATAACATATTTTGAAGTCAATTTAATACATTAATTTTAACTAAATTTCAACAATTTTAACCCAAAAATATTTTAGAATCAATATTTTGCCATAGTTGGATATATAAGACTGTTTAGTATAAGTGTTATTATTTAGTTTATTTTGTAATTTAATATTTAATGATTGTTTAATTTTCATGAAAAGAGTGTTAAAAGTTAGGACGAATTTCGTTATGTAACTCAGTAAAAGTTGTATGTTGTGTGTGTAGTT